GGGAGAATCGATTACTTCAATTGAATGGGTTGGAAAAATTGAGACATAATGCTTATGACAATGCCAAACTCTACAAAGAGCGAACTAAAGCTTTTCATGACAAATACATTGTGAAGAAATCTTTTGAACCCAGTCAAAAATCATGGCTCTTCAACTCTAGATTAAAACTCTTTCCCAGGAAGTTTTGAACCAAATGGGAAGGCCCATATGAGATCATCTCTGTTGCGCCCCATGGGGCGGTTGAAATTCAAAGCTTAAAAGATGGAACTACATTCAAAGTGAATGGACAAAGGTTGAAACCCTACATTCAGGGTCAAGTCTTTCAAATACATACGGAAGCTGCCTTCTTGGTGGATCCTATCTATGAAGAGATATAGTGATGCATTCAATGTTATTAAGGGGAGTTCAATATGTTTCCCCTTTGGTACCATTCATTCTCTGTGTCTTTATCATTAGCAACCTGCTTAGATTGTTGTGCAATGAAAAATGCATGAATTTTTGTCTGTTCGATCGATCACAAAAGAAGTTCAATCGATCGAGCATCATCTCTACATACTCTAACCTCTCAGCTCCATCGTGCGAAAATCTCTGCATATTTCAGGTCTCTGTGTATCATACAAACTTTTTCCCTGATCGATCTGAGTATTCCCAGATCGATCTAGCTTTCCTTCAGATCAATCTATGTTTCATACTTAGAAAAATTTTCAATTTCTGTATAAATTATCTTTCTGTGTATCGTTCGAAGCTTTATGCAGGTTTTCAGGCCTTAGATCTATCGAAGTGAGATCAATCATTCTGTGATCAATCATTCAAATATATATATATATATATATATATATATATATATATATATATAGGGGCAATCTTTCAACGTGGCATTCTGTCTTGCTAGAGATGTTAAACTTAACAATCACTGTGCATATTTATTGCATTTTGTTTCATTGTACGTACCTTCATAAAAATAAAAATAAAAAAAGAAAAAAAAAAAAGAAAAGAAAAGAAAATCCAAATTACAAAAATTTATTTTACCATTGTGCCCTTATATGTAGTCATGCATACTTTATGCTTTAGTTAGGGCTTGATCTCATACTTCTCTTTCATCTTGTGTTATATTGCCTTAGAATGTATGATTTGATTATTCTTATCCCATTTGATATTTGATGTGAGTTTGCTAGTGTGGTTATTCAAATAGGTTGTCGATTCCAAGTTTGGGGGTGCACTCTTTCCCAATAGATCACTACCGGGCTTCATGTCTTTTCATCCACGGTATACTCTTTATATTTTGTTCTTTCCATTGTTCTCATTGCACATTGAGGATAATGTGCGGTTTTAGTTTGTGGGTAGGGTGGCTTTGTTCCATTCTATTTAAGTTGAGCTTTAAATGCATGATTAAGATTTGAGATTGATGTTAGTTATGATTTTGATCTTTTGAGGACCATGATACTAAAAATTTAAAAATTGCTTGACTTGAGAATCCAATACTCCTTGTATGCGTTGTGGATGCCATTTAGGAATAAATTTTTCGAAAAATTGATATCATGCTTGCACTTGTGATCCGCATCATCCTAATTTTGTGATTGTTTTAAGATTCACTCTAGGATTCTACACTAGCACAGACGCACACTAGCATTCATTTGTGGGGTACATGCTTTGTTGATTATTGAATTGGTTATATCCCAATTGAGCTAATAGTGCATTGAAAGCTTTTATTCTTGATAAAGGTGGATAACAAACCCCTTTCATTAAGTAGCCGGGGTTCTAACCTCATTAAGTACTGAATTTCTCATGCCAAAAGGTGGAGGGCTCAAACTTTAGGTTAATAACATAATAAAAAATAAAAATAAATAAAAAAAAATTGTAGCAAAAGCAAATAAAAAAGTAAGGACTTCTCCCAAAAGGTGAGAAGTGGTAAATGATTAGATGGAGGTTGTTTTGATTTGTAACCTAGTCGATTTGAGCTTGTAAGTCCTTAGGGGTGTTTAAACACCTAATGCCCTAAAGCCGTTCGATTTGTGAGTCATTGACCTAACGCTCAACCTCATGGATTGCTAGAAAGCTTAATAGATCAACACTTTGCACTATGCTTCCATCTTTGATCCTTGGGATTAGAAGAAGGGAAAAAAAAAAAAATCGAGTGAAAAGAATAAGCACACCTAGATGAATAAAGCTTTAATAAAAGGTCAATTCTTTGTTTTGATGATAGGTACTAGATTTGTGTGCTAGTTTGAAGGTAAGGATGTGATCATTTCTTTAGTTGGCTTAAATAGCAACATATTTGATGCCGATTCACTCAAAAAGAATTCTAGAGTTGTTTTGATTTGCATGATCATTTTCTTGATGTGTGGAGGACCATACTTGCTTGCTTGATGTTGAGATTTTGAGAGATTGCTTGGAAATGGTTGAAAAATTGCATACTTGAGGTAGTTTTCTCCCAATGCTTGTTTGGAATATTGGTGCCTCTTTTGTGAGAATGAGCTTAATGTTTACGGGTATCATTTTTAGAAACCTTCACGAGACTTCACTCGTCCACTAGGGGTAACCTAGGGGTTTAAAAGGCTTGTTGCATATGCTAAATGCAATCGTGTTCCCTACGAAAGTGGCGTTATCCATTTATTATTTTCTAGTTTATAATTGTATAGTTGTTTATTTCATTTCTTTACCTCGTAGTTCATTGCTAGGGACTAGCAATATTTTAGTTTGGTGGTGTGATAAGCGCTGAAAATGTGCATTTAAATCCCTTAAGCTTGATCATTTTATGGCCTTATCCTATCTTATTTTTCCGTTTTAGTCTAATTTCATGTTATTTCCCTTTTCAGGCACTTATCCTCAAAATAAGTCAACTCAGTTGAATTAGAGCACAAAAGATGCAATATCAAGTTTAGTGGAAAAAAGGAGTAAAGTAGAAGCAAAGAGGTGGAAAATAGCAATCTTTGATCGATCAGACCAAGTTCAGATCGATCTCACAATGATCTTTCCAACCATGTCAAGATGGATCGAACCTCTTGCCCTTATCCTCAGGAAAATTCCATCTTCGATCGATCCAACATTACTTCGATCGATCGGACTTCTTTGATCTTATCCCCACCTAGCACTTTTGTCCTTTTCCCAAAATATCTCATAAATAAGATTTGTCATTATTCCGAAAAGGCGCCGCCATGGTTCGATCGATTTAACCACCCTTGTGATCAATCGAACCTCCTCAAGTGCAAGAAAAACAGAGTTCCAGCCAATTAAAATTAAGGTGTGTTCATGGTGCAATCATTTGGAGGTCCTAGTGCACGAGGTCTAACCATTGGGTGTGACACTTGAGTTACCTATATAAGGATTTTGGGTCATTTTATATATATACAATCTTATATGAAGGAACCATATACACAAGAGATGTTGGAGGAGTCTAGAGACTAGAGAGACACACACCATTTAGGAGATCTTGCACTCATCTTAGGTTTCCATTAAGGAGAAGAAGATTATTCCTACCATGGAGATGGCTCTTGAGGGTTGGATGACTACATCAATGAGTGGCTAAACCATTCTCTTCGGGCTAGAGATAGCCCTAAGCATGCCTCCTAGACTTTGATGTTTTGTATTTTGAGGGGATTTGTGTTGTAATTCTTGTCTTGACATTTGATTTATATATGAATCTTGTTTCTACAATGATTTGCGTGGTTTAATAATTCCAATTGATCATTTCATTCTATTCATATATCTATGTATGATAGAATAGATATTCATGTGTTTATCTCTAGGTTTTGTGATATTGATACATGTCTATGTGTGTTAATGCTATGAATCTAGTAATGATCAAGGAATGGTGCTCTAATAGAATAGCCTTGTGGTTTGTTTGATGGTTTATACTTATTTCTTGATGAATTGTGCCTCTTCCTTAGCTCAATTAGTTTAATTTTCATGTCCCTAGCTTAGTTATAGTGTAGTTGCCTTACTTTCTTAGATGGGAAGACAATCCATACTTGTTGTTTGATGTTCCATACTTATGAATGCAAGTAGTATATTTTTCTAATTTGATGATGTGTATTGATTGTGGACTTAAAAGAATGAATAATGGCTTAACTTGATATGTTGTGCTATTTACTAGTTTGGCTTGACAATGTATACTTATTTAGTCATCCATGCTTGTTGATTCAATCAATGACACACACTAGTATTGCAACATATAACCCCCCTCATTCATTACACATTGAGTGTCTAGGAATGTGATATTTGGTGGTGACATCAAAGTCACAAGACCCCTCTCTTATATTCTCTACATTTTACTCTACTTCAATTACTTTACCTTGCATCTAATTGACATTTTAATTAATGAACCAAACAAAACATCTTTGATCATTCAACCTCCTAATCCAACATTGATTTCCAAGCTAAATACATTCCATTTCCCTTAGGATGATCCCTACTCACCTTACCTATATTTGTAGTCAGAAGTGATAGTGACATTCTATAAATTTAAACTTGGCCACACTACACCTCTTTTTGTAGCTAGTGGTAAGACACGCGCCAATAGCCACACTATAATGAGCTATTATAGGCTTGTTCAATTCACTTTTCTGAAAACAGTTTTGAAACACTAAAAAAAAAATATGTAATTTTTAAGAGAGATAGGTGAGACAAAAAAAATATATTTAATAAATACAAATTATTAATTATAGAGAAAACAGTTATTATAGACTAGTGCAATGGATGGTTTGGGAGACCATTTTTCTTGTCATTCAATTTGTTTGCTATTCACTAATATCTATTTTTTCCAATATTCAAATAAAAAGAATAAAACAGGTAAAAAAACATATATTAAATTGATAAGTTAATGCATACGTTATACCTTTTATTATTATTATTATTATTATTATTATATATATATATATTTTCATGGCTTAGAACTTCCACAATGCTATGTTGTGGACCTTGTGGTCTTGGTTAAAAACACAATCTTCAACTAGAAAAACAATGGTAACCATGAAAACTTGAGGGTGCTCTAGTGTACGTACCATTATGGAAGCATCATACAGAAATGGAGGCAACAATGTACTCATGAAACAAGCCGGCGTAGTAGCAAGTCCCATGTCAAACGCCAAACAACCGGCACGAGCAAGTCCGGCGAACACCGCCACGCTCAACGATGCTCCGGAGATTCGAGGGTCACGTCCGAGAGAAACCTTAACTTCTTCTTCCTTCTCCAAGCCACTGATAACCCACTCACCAAAGCTCTCGGCAATGGCTTCCACGGCCGGTGGTGTGAGGTCCACCGTCCGGCCTCTCTCTCCCTCCACCGCCACCCCTCGAACGTCCGACCCGTTTTGCAGCCTCCTTATCTTGTCCATCTCTTCATCCATCACTACTTCATTGTACTTCGCAGTCCTAGAAGATTTTACAGGAGCTATAAGCTGAGTTAGAGGCAATGAAAATGGAAAATGGAGATTGGCATGAAATGGTTTAGTTGTTGGTGATGACGGGAAGCTCGTATTCCGGGCACCGGTTTGTAGAGGTAGTGATGGTGTTGAAGTGGAAGCCATTGATTCTGGTGAAGTTGTCACTTGCACTCCCTGTGGTATGCTTAGAGAGAGAGAGAGGCTTAAGGACAAAATGAATTTAAGTTGGAGAAGATAAGATGAGCCCAATAAATTATAACCCTACAATTCAATATCTGTCCGGGAACGGAATATGCCATAACAATCTTCTAAAAGACTAGATATTTTTCATTTTTTGTGTATGGTATACATCTCTTCTCGATGTTCTTATTTGTTGTTTATTTCATCAGCTTTATAAATAGAAACGTTATATTCTTTTCAAGTAAAAAAGAACGGTGGCCCAGTATCTCCCCTCTCTAGCTAAAAAAGGAAAGGACAAAAGTTATTATTATTATTTTTTTTTTGTGGTGTGTGGGCCTCATTAACAATGTATTTGGTTGAACGAAATCGGTGTTGAAATTTAATTCAATTTCGTGAAATTGAAATTCAGCAAATGAAATATACTCTTTAGCTTGAATCAACTTTGAAATTCACTCGAAATCGAATTGAAATTAGAGGAGGTACACATATATATATATACACAGACACACAGACACACACATATATATATATACACACACACAACTATACAAACATAGACACGCAATGGTGCCAGACCATATGTAATAGTTTCTCTACATAGATCGGCATCTACAAAGCATAATCTAACAAAACAACAGTATGCAATGTCATTGGACAAATACCAAACAAAACCACTATAATATAAGATATGGGCCCAAAGACCATGCAACCATAAAAGCATTCTACGTCCAAGCCCAAACTAAAAACCGTAGTCAATTGGTCAGTTATAAATGCAGGCCACAAATAGCGACTTAAATCTGGACCAAACTTAACATCACCCCATTTAATATACCCACCATTTACCAACAGGCCAGTAGCCTAGTAGTACAAGGCTCTTACTTTCCAAAGGGAGGTTAGGGGTTCGAACCTCAGTAGAGGCAGTATGTGTGAGTCCTAATTAGGAAAAAAAAAATTAAAATAAAATATACTCACCATATCAATCAAGTACTTGACATTATGTTTATCTATAAACTGTGGGCCCAACATTCTAGAAACAACAGTCTTTGCGTTTTTCCTACACATCAACAAAGGAAGCTTTGACCTGGGAGCCAAAAGCAGACCTCACATTGCACAATGTGAGAAACGAGGAGGGCCTTGGGGAGTGCAAAGACCAAACGTCGGGAAAGGACTAAACGTCGGTGAACCACCATCATTGTGAGCCTTATTTGTAACAACAAATAACCACCAAGAACAAAGAGCAGCAGAAAACCCATGCACCGTATGTTTTCGAGCCTGACAAATCTTTCTGGTGACACCCAATTACCATGACTCATAGTCAATAGCGGCCAGAGGAGAGGCATCGTTGATCGGGGCAAGAGAGAGGAGCATCAAAGCTACTGCAAGAACTCGTCCAACTCGCAAAAGCTTGAAACGCGTTGCTTGTGGACGTGAGAGAAACGTCGGCACCAAAAATAAAGAAAACGAAGCACTAAAAGAAATGAAAAATCAATTCCCAAATATCGTACCCGCCAACAGACAAACACTTGCAACAACCAACCATAGCCCAGATGCCGATGCCATGGCCACAGACAAAAACTCGGCGCATACAAACGACTAACCAGAAAAAGTGAGAACTAAAATAGTAACCAATAACACCAACCCAATACCTGGATAAAAAGGAAAAAATAGTGGAGATTGGCCAATAAGCCATCCACCATTCAATACGCTTGATCTAACAACCCACAAGACCCAAAAGTCCATCGGATCCGATCGCCCACATGAACGTTTTCCTAAATTGAGTAGGGAATCCATCCCATAGAAACACACCAACTTAGAGAAATCCAACTCTGATGAATAGAGCACCTCTACTCAGAGAGGAACGCAGAAATTCCGATGAACGGAGAGGGTCTGAATGGTGTCACTAGAGAGGAAAAAGAAAGAATTCAGTCAAACAGTGAAACTTCTTGCTTCCTTTAATAATAAAATTGAACTCACCTGCTAGTGCCAGCCATCCAACAACATTAGAATTGTTAGTAAATTTACTTCTTTGCCATAAATAATTTATACATTTTTATAGATATTTGTTTTGAAATCAAAAAAACTTAATGGGTGCATTCCGTTGCACAGAACTGGAATTGAATTGGACTTCCAATTTTATGTAATTGAAATTCCACAAACTTAATTACAAATACACCATTCGGACCAATTTTAGAATTCATGTAGAACCTAGCAACATTTCCAATTCTTTTGTTCAGCTTAAAAATTCATTCGAAATTGATACTTAGAAAACAATTATATTTTATTTAAATAAATACATAAATATTTACATATATTTAATTAACAATTGTTACATATGAGTTTATTATTTATTTTACGTAGTAGTATTTTTTTCCTTAATAGAAAAAATTCAGTAAAATTACAACCAGCTGTTACAATCATTCATTGTAAAACATATTCCAACATTATTCATTTTTTTTGTTGGGAATGCATTGTCATAAAGTTAATTATTTGATTCATATAATTTTAACAAATTATAGGGGTAATAACAAAAATCTTTGCCTCATTTAGTGTTTTAGCACAAATTTTGAAGCTTTTTTAATATTAAGAATTTTAACACTATTTCTAGGAGGAATTTGCCGAAATTCTAGTGAGATGTCTCTTGGAACTATATAGGCATTATAAATACTTGTAGGAGAATTGATTTTGGGGCAACTAAGGGTGGAGAGGTATTTATAAAAGAAGAGAGGAGTGGATCGAAGAAGACCAAATTGCCCCTAATGAAGGCCAAACACTCCCCCTCCCCCACCCCACCCCCCCAAAACTAGAAAGAAGTGTGGCCTCGTGGGGGTATGGGGCTACTTCCTTTAAGGCTTATATTTTGGTGTCCCCCAACACCCCAACCATAAAATAGGCTAAATTTGGCTTGTCCTCATGGGGTGTGTGAGGATGACTCCAAAATAGGCTAAATTTGGCTTGTCCTCATGGGGGCTGTGATGACGTTGTCAAATTCTGATTCGTCTTAACCAATTTTAACTATCCTTCAAAATGTTAATTTTTTGGTCAACATTGTTTATGTGGCACCACTGTGGAGCCAAATTGACATTTCGTGTCAATTTTGACTAGTGTTGGCTTTTCAAAGCTAATTTTGACCCATTTGACTAATTTTAACTCATTGACTTTTTGTTAATAATTAGTATTTTGAACCATTTTCACCTAGTTTTTGACTTTTCAAAAGACAACTTTGACAGTAGTACATTTGTCCTACATAAATGGCTCATATGTCACTGCCAAGGCAAGTCCATCCAATCATCAAAAATTCAACTATCAAATCCTTGTGATCTAAATAAATTGACATTTCGTGTCAATTTTGACTAGTGTCGGCTTTTCAGAGCCAATTTTGACCTATTTGACCGATTTTAACCGATTAAGTTGACTTTTTGCTAAACTTTTACTGTGTGTCACTATAATTAGTATTTTGAACCATCTAAACCTAGTTTTTAACTTTTCAAAATACAACTTTAACAGTAGTACGTACATTTGTCTTGCCTAAATGGCTCATATGTCACTGCCCGAGCAAGTCCATCCGATCGTAAAAAATTCAATTATCAAATCCTTGTGATCTATGACATATCTTAGAGTTCTTAGGTGTTTGAAACACCGTGGTGTAGCCCGATCAACTATTAGACGGTCACATGTTCCTAAAATGATTGTTTTACCCATATGGTGGTAAAATTGGGCCTCGACCATTTATTAGACACGATGATAGATCAATTCCACGTCTCTCAGACATTTTAAGAAGAATGGCTAGGTCTGATCCCTGATCCAAAAGTCAAATATTTGTTATACAAAACTATAGTTTTGCCACTAGGCTCAATTTTTACCCCAGATGCATAATCTTTGGTTCTTACAGTGAATTTTTGTAATAACCCAGTCATTTTCCTTCCTTTCTTTTTTCTCATTTTTACGGATTTTCATTTTTCGTTGATTTTCTTTTTCGAGTTCAGGTTTGATTTCCTTCAGTTCGTGTTGAGTGCTCAAAAATAGTTTCTGATACTACCCTTTCTTGGTGTTATAATGTCCTTATGAGGACCGTGTCATCTTCTTTCTTTTTCGGCGGTTTTCCTTTTCGCATAACCTTAGGGTTTTAGAGACCCGAGATAAGGTTTTGAGTTTGGTTTCATGTTCGGAGTTGATTTTCGGCTTCACGTGCTTCTTTTCCATTTGGTTTCCTTGAAATGCGTACCTTTACTTTTGTAAGAAAGCTTGCTGGTTGTTTCCTTTTCCTGTAGGGGCGTGTATGCAAAATTTCTTCAGAAACATTTTCTTTTCCTGGGGTGTTTTCCATAAATATCTTTTGAAGATATTTTTGTTTTGGGGGTTTTTAAGAAAGTATCTTTTGAAAGATATTTTCATTTAGGTCATCTGCGCAGTTATCCTTTTGTGTAGGGGCCTTTGTGCAATTAACAAAAATTAATTGCAAGGTATCTCTTTTGGGCTTGGATCCTCGTATCAAATTCATTTTCATATTTTATCGAGTCACGTACTCTTCGAAATGCCTTATGAACTTTTCACTCAGTGTTAGGGTTTTTGATCTCGATTGTCACTAAACTTGCTCAGGGCATATCTTTCTGCACAAAACTTGATTTTTTACGCTGTTTCTTTCATTGTTCATTTTTTGTCATGACGATACTTTTTTGTTCACGGTGTTTTTCCGTTTGAGCGCGTCTGTGTAGTTTTTACTTTCCGGGGCAGCGCGGGGCCTGTTCGAGGCACTTTTTGGAAATTCTATAAATAAGGGGTAGGAGAGAGAAATATCAGATTTCTCCCCTCTCTTCCCATGGCTGTCGTCCTCCCCTTTCTTCTCCCTTCTTTTTTCTTTCTTCCATTTGATCTCCTTTTTCTTGGATTCTTCCTTTGCCGATGAAGGCTTTATTGTCGGCCTTAGCGAGGCATTAAATTCAATCCGATTGGAATCTGGTTTTGGCCATTTTGTAGTTTGGTATTTAGCTCGGGTTTGGAATTTGGTGTTGCGGCAAGAGGACTTTTGGTTCTCCTCGTTGTCCCCGCATAACCCCGAAGTTTTGTCGCTTTTGGAAAGGTTCCGTTTCGA